TTTTTGGTTAGGCTTGGTTCGACCCCCCCCCCCCCCCACGTGGCCATAACAGTCCATTTTCTGTGGAAGCAATATGCTTTCCTGCCACATTGTCTCTGCATCAGAGTGACTCTACCTGATAATATCTTGCCCTGTGTGACCAAGTCGGGGGAGGATTCTCTCTAAGGGATGTGGATAGGGGGAAAGGGAAGCCAGCTTTGAGAGGCTGGAGTGAATGTGGGTGGAAGCCTCAAGGAGTTCTTTAGCTGTCCAGATGGTGCTTTTGCTAGTCCCTGTCACAGTGTGTTCCTTGTAAGAAGCAAGAGGAAAAGAGAGAGAGCAAACACTAGGACAAAACGTAAACAGCAATTTGAGGAAGGCGCAGAAAGGGGGCAGGGGAGAGGAAATGTGTAATTTTTCTTTAAAAATTTTTGTGCATTAATTTTGTGCTTATGAAAATGGACCAAGAACAACTGGCCAAGCACAGTGCAGGCAGATGGTGGGCAAGCTCCGGACTATCAATATATCCCATGCCTGGGAACAGCGGCCCCTGCCTGCCAATGCATTTCAGGCTTGAGGTGCCTGTCTAGGGCTACCCTACAGAGTTAGGTTGACGTAAGGGTCTACCTACAACATTGCTCCCGCCGATGTAAGTCGCCCACTACACCGACCTAATAACTCCACCTCCACGAGAGGCATAGCGCTTAGGTTGACATAATTAGGGTGACACAGTAGCTGTGTAGACACTGCGTTACTTACATCGCCTGTTGGCTGTCAGCTCTGTGCGGGGCTCACAGCTGGAGACCCACTGCTCTTCGGCTGATGTCGTGGGGTATACACTTACAGAGTTTTATATATAATATATAAAAAATAGAGAGACCTATCTCATAGATCTGGAGGGGACCTCGAAAGGTCATCGAGTCCAGTCCCCTGCCTTCACTAGGCAAGACCAAGTACTGATTTTGCCCCAGATCCCTAAGTGGCCCCCTCAAGGATTGAACTCACAACCCTGGGTTTAGCAGGCCAATGCTCAAACCACTGAGCTATCCCTCCACCTAACTCCATAGTGTAGACGAGGCCTTGACAGGCAGCTCAGGCCTGAAATGCATTGGCAGGCAGGGGGTTCTCAGGTATGGGATGTATTCCCGCTAGACCGTCTTTGGGCCAAGACTACAAATCATGCCGAAATGTGATGGGAGGGTTGAGACCTCTCCTTACTCCTGCTGTTAGGAGTTGAACCAGTGTCTTCTGGAGTGAGAGCTGAGTATGCTAATGTACTGCAGCACCCAGCTCCGTGACATGGCTAGAAATGAAGTGACATGGAAAGAGATGGGGAGTCCTTGTGGCCCCTTAGATACTAACAAATTTATTTGGGCATAAGCTTTCGTGGGCTAGAACCCACTTCATCAGATGCATGGAGTGAAAAATACAGGAGCAGTTATAAATACATGAAAGGACGGGAGGTGCCTTACCAAGTGTGAGGTCAGACTAACAAGACAATTCAAGTAACAGCAGGATACCAAGGGAGGAAAAATAACTTTTGAAGTGGTAATGAGAGTGGCCCATTTCAGACAATAGACAAGAAGGTGTGAGATGGGCCACTCTCATTACCACTTCAAAAGTTATTTTTCCTCCCTTGGTATCCTGCTGTTACTTGAATTGTCTTGTTAGACTGACCTCACACTTGGTAAAACACCCCCATCCTTTCATGTATTTATACCTGCTCCTCTATTTTCCACTCCATGCATCTGATGAAGTGGGTTCTAGCCCACGAAAGCTTATGCCCAAATAAATATGTTAGTCTCTAAGGTGCCACAAGGACTCCTTGTTTTTTTTGCTGATACAGACTAACTCGGCTACCCCTCTGAAACCTGTCACCATGGAAAGAGATGCAAAGTAAGAACTGTAAAATAAGCCAAAGGCCTGAAAGATTAGACTAGTATAATCTCTGACTAGCCTGGCCAATTAGTGGAGGAAAGAAGGGGAAGTTCAACACCTGCGTACAATGTGTTTATAGGCCAAGTGACCATGGCTTAGAGCAGGGGTCGGCAACGTTTGGCACGCGGCTCGCCAGGGTAAGCACCCTAGCGGGCCGGGCCATTTTATTTACCTGCTGACTTGACAGGTTCGGCCGATTGCGGCCCCCCACTCGCCGCGGTTCGCTGTCCCGGGCCAATGGGGGCGGCGGGAAGCGGCGCGGGCGAGGGATGTGCTGGCCGCGGCTTCCTGCCGCCCCCATTGGCCCGGGATGGCGAACCGCGGCCAGTGGGGGCTGCAATCGGCCGAACCTGCCACGTCAGCAGGTAAATAAACTGGCCCGACCCGCTAGGGTGCTTACCCTGGTGAGCCGCGTGCCAAATGTTGCCGACCCCTGGCTTAGAGAGAACATGATTTATTTCTGAATGCAGGTCCTGGTTTAGTTGATAAACAATGGGAAATGGTGTCTAAGCACTTGACCACATTTGAGTCTGAATAGACACCATCTCTCTCGAAGGGGATTTTTTTGGTGATGGCTTCTTCCTCGTTGTTTGGTGAGAACAATCAATACTGATAGATTAAACAGGAATTGATTGCAGGAGAACAAACGATTATGGTCAGATTGTCTTTCTGCTCCAGGGAGAGCATTTTGATAATTTTCGTCTGAAAGACAGTAACAAAAACAGATCAACACCCACAGAAAAGAAGGTTCAGTGTCTTATTTCAAATGTGGTAGCTGCCCTCAGCCATTCAAAAGTTCCTCTTGTAATTAAAAGTCTTTTTTAAATAAAGAAAATATTTATTTATTCTTCCCAAGGCAGGACTGAAGACAACTTTGACTTGAGGTGAAATTAAACAAGTTAATCTTTTGTTTAGGAATCTTGCTCTCACAGAGAGAATGAATTTCAAGTTACTGCTTTTAGAACTTTCCCCTCCCTCATGGGAATATATTTTAAAACATGACAGCCTATTAACTTTATTCTAAGTGCATGGCTTCTGTCGTCTGGCTATGTTACACACTGGAACATCAGGGCAGAGTAGTGGGGGATGGGAACAGGAGCAGAAAAACCTGATCAGAAAAACTTTTCCGCCCTGTGCTTGTAATTTAAAAAATAAATGCTGCATTTAAATACACTTCTACCCCAATATAACACTGTCCTCGGGAGCCAAAAAATCTTACCGCGTTATAGGTGAAACTGTGTTATATTGAACTTGCTTTGATCCGCCGGAACGCGTAGCCCCCCACCCTCCTCCCGTAGCACTGCTTTACCACGTTATATCGGGTCGCGTTATATCGGGGTAGAGGTGTATGTCACAACAGCAAATGTGTAATTCCACAAAGGAAATGTTAGGATGAAACTGAATAAGCAGTACCCTAAAATAACATTTCTGGACATTTGCTTCTCCATTAGGTCTAACTGCTTTTAGAGGCAACTTGAAAATGAAAAGAAAAACCAGTTTGTAAATTCAGTGGTCTGCTCAGTTGGTTTTGGTAGTATTATTTGGCTGTGTGGAGACAAGGTGAAAGTTGATTGTAAATCTAAACATATATATATACAAAATAAACACTTTGCAAAGTTCTATTCTGAATCACTTGAACTAAGGATACTGGATGCAATTTCCCATGTCCATTGATTCTAGTGGAATCAATGTCCCATAGATTTTTAAGGCCAGAAGGCACCATTAGATCATCTAGACTGACCTCCTGTGTAACACAGGGCACAGAACTGCACCCCCTTACTCCTGTATTGAGCCCAATAACTATTCTGCTTATCCCAGGGCTGAGTTCAGCCCTTTTATGTACTTTCCTAACTAGTAACAGTGGTTCTGGATTTTCAATTGAGACAATTTTCTTTTTTCCTTTTTCTGTATGCAGTGGCAGGCAGTGTCTGTGCTAAGTCTCTGTGTCCTTGTTATGCATTCCATTGGATGCCTTTGGCAGGCAGAGAGGTAAACTTTGCAAGGTGAATAGAACTGCAAGCATGTTTGTCAATTTCTGGGACTGATAGGCTTAAGCTACTAGGAAAGATAATAATCCTGTAGAGTCCCTGGGCCAAATTCAGCCCCCGTGAAAACAAATGCTAGTTTATTGAAGCCTGGAGCTGATTGGTTATGCCATCAGGAGTTTGGCCTGTGTCTTCTGCTGGGCTGATGACTTTCTTGCTTGTGTGTATTTACTCAGACCCCCCGGGCACAGTAGAGTAAAATCCACAAAGAGTAGAATGTGCATCCCTGCTGGAGCAGACTGGAGGCTTCATGCCTTTCTGTCTGTCTGTGATTTATTGAGAGAGACATTTTATGACTCTGAGTTATTTCCTCCTGTGTCGATCCTATTTATTTATTTCTAAACAAACCTTCCAGTGAAAGTGACCAGCTTCTTCTTCCACTTGGGGAGGAAGGAGACAGATGGGATTGTAAGGTGTATGCATGGGGGGATGGTGGGAGAGACAGGAACAGCTGAAGAAGAAGAGGAACTGGTGTGGTCACAGATGGTGAGGTGAGAGGGTTCATTTGCCTCCCCTTGTAACACGTACCCCTGGAAGTGTGATTGAACAAAGCTGCTTACGGCAAAGCCAAAGGAAAAAGATCAAGGGCTGTGAAGGCGCTCCAGACTAGCTCTGACATAATTCAGTGCAGGAACCTCTCAGAACATAAAAGGGGGAGGGAAGTGATCGAAAAACATGGGAAGATGGTTTTTTCCTGCTTTATTCTCCACAAGCTGGACGCAGCTGAATCTTGCCCTGACTTTTTCTTCCAGAGTGGCTCAGCAGTTTAGTGTGCTGTCTCTTTAAGATAATTCCCTGTTAAGATTAGATTTTTTTTTCTACTGATGCTTGGCTATAATTACTAGTATGTCTGGAATGTGGATATCAAAACATAATAAACCTCTGTGCGGGTAGAGTTAGGATTACCTCAGTGACTCGGAAACACGCGCTGCCTCGAGTACGATGGTAACGTTTCTTGTGATTTTTATTCCTTAGCCCTTGTGCTATTGACTCTCTTTTAATGCGCTCTGGCTAAATTGACTCTGTTTGCTTTAACAGAATGAAGAGAAGCGGAATCTTTCCCTGGGGGGCCATGTTGGATTTGATAGTCTCCCAGATCAGCTTGTCAGCAAATCTGTCACACAAGGATTCAGCTTCAACATCCTCTGTGTGGGTAAGCAGAGTTTACCATAGACTAGGGAAATTCTTAGTAGTAGTAATACAATAAATAATAATCTAGTAGCACATCAGATCCATGGATGTCGGAGCACGTCACAAAGAGAGATAAGTATCATTACTGGAATTTTACATGGAAAATGCAAAGAAGTTAAGGCCAAAATTGTTCAGTTCCCTGCTCTGTCACAAACTCACTGTGTGACCTTGGGCAAACCACATAGGCCTAAATTTTCACAAGTGCTAGCTTATTCTGTAGGCCCAATTTTAGATGCCACTGATCTGCTTTTCATAAGCTCTGAGCACCTTCAGCTGTGTTCAATATCAGTTGGAGTTGTGGGTGTTCTGCCAATGGCCTATCATGCACTAGGCACTCGAAATAAGTGGGCACTTTCGGAAAGATTTGTCCTTAAATGACTTTCCGAAGGTGTAACAACAAGTCTGTAGTAGATCTGGGAATAGTGTAAACCACTGGTAAGTGTGTGTTACGGGTTCCCCTCAAAATAGATCTCCAGCGTTAAAGCTCTCTAGCTGGGGCTGTAATGGACTCTCATCCTCTTCAGTTGTAGTTGTAGCAGCTCTGGAGATCCCTAATTCAGTCCCGAGTGTGTTGGCCAAGGTGGCAGCCATTTCAATAGCACTCAGAAGTCCAGACTGCCGTTAACATAATGTTGTATTTTATTGTTTCATGAGGGAAACCGTGTTCCTCTTCGTAAAGATAGTTGAAGGGTTTTTTTCTGTTGAAATATTCCACATATATAGAGCTGGGCAGGGATTATTATGATTTATTTATAATATTAATAATTTTATTTATTATTAAACTTTTTGGGGCAATAAATGCCAGTTCATCTAACCTGAAACTTTTTGTGGGAAAGGTTTTGATGAATTTTTCAACTCAAAACATATTTTTCAAAAGTTCCAAAAATGTCGACATTTTTTCTAATGAAAAATTCCAGTTTTCCGGTTCAAAGCAACCTTTTGTTTTGAAATTTAAGCTAATTAGATTTTTAAAAGCGGTTGAAATTGAAATGAAATATTTTTTTAAAAATCAAACAAAACGCTTCAATTGGCCAAAACTGGGTTTTTCTTTTTGGGGATTTTTTTGGATTGTTGGTCCACAAAAGTTTTTGATACTTTGACCTTTCAACCAAATGTGGGACAGGAAGATCTTTCAAATTCTCAAAAATGTTCAAAAGATGGAAAAAAAATTTTTTCCAGCCCATCCCTAAGCATGGGTTGTTTTAGCTGCAGCCAGATCACGATGGGAGGACAAACGGAATTAGCTTCTGTACCTGAGCTGATGTGGGACATATGTAGGGCCCTACCAAATTCATGGCCATGAAAAATGTGTCATGGAAGGTGAAATCTGGTCTCCCCCGGTGAAATCTGGTCTTTTGTGTGCTTTTACCCTATACCATACAGATTTCACGGGGGAGACCGGTGCTTTTCAAACTGGGAGTCCTGATCCAAAAGAGGGTGAGGGGTCACAAGGTTATTTTAGGGGGGTCATGGTATTGCCACCCTTACTTCTGCGCTGCCTTCAGAGCTGGGCGGCTGGCGGCTGTTGGCCAGGCACCCAGCTCTGAAGGCAGCACCCCACCAGCACCAGCACAGAAGTAGGGGTGGCAATACCATACCATGCCACCCTTACTTCTGCACTTCTGCCTTCAGAGCTGGGCAGCTGGAGAGGGGCGGCTGATGACTGAGGGCCCAGCTCTGAAAGCAGCAGCGCAGAAGTAAGGGTGGCAATATCATATTATGCCATTCTTACTTCTGCGCTGCTGCTGGCGGCGGCTCTGCCTTCAGAGCTGGGCTCCCGGCCTGCAGCCACCACGCTCCAGCTACCCAGCTCTGAAGGCAGTGCTGCCGCTAGTAGCAGCGCAGAAATAAGAGTAGCAATACCGCAACCCCCTACAATAACTTGTGGACCCCCCCACACTCCTTTTTGGGTCAGGACCCCTACAATTACAACACCATGACATTTCACATTTAAATATCTGAAATAATGACATTTTTAAAATCCTATGACTGTGAAATTGAACAAAATGGACCATGAATTTGGTAGGGCCTTAGACGTATGGATTTGAGGATGGGGAAATGAAGTGGCTGATAGGCTTAAGAATCACTATCACTACAGCTAGAAATAGTAATTCTTTATAGCTGAGCTGGGTCCAGATTGGAACTTTCACAGAATTTGGGGGTGGGTGAATCCAGAGTTTTGAATTGGGTCCATTTCTGTCCCCAAAGAAAGATGGAATTTCCTGTTTGCCTTCAGCATAAAACAGTTATCTCTAAGCATGCTGGCCGGTTGCTAGAGAACAGATCTTACAATAATCTCATTATAATTTTACTTTTTCCCTTTCAATTTGTGCATGATTCTAGTAGCTGATGCCACACAGACTGCTTGAAGCCAGTCCTTTCTGGTGATGCCTGGGGGTGCTGGCTTGCAGATGATTTTTTTGTTTGTTTGCTTGGCATGCTTTTATTTTAGGCTTAAAGTACTGCAACCTGCAATAACAGTTGAAATGCTTTTGGGGGCAGAGACTTCTTCCCAGCACTGGCTCTGGACCAGTGATCAAGGCAGGGGAAGTGATATTTTCAATATCTGAAATGTGTTCCAAGATCTCTTCCTGCCCAGACTGGATACAGCTTTACATAGAGTGGGCAGTGGAATACTTCCTTTATTCTGATCCTGACCCCTTTAGGAACTCCCTACCTACACTTTTTTTTTTCTTTCATACCCAAACCCCAAGTAAACAGCATTGCTTGTACCCAGAGTTTAACATCAAGCAAGGATGTTACCCTGGGCTTTGTAATGTCATTCTTCAAATGCAGTGTGCCAGCAGCAGAAGACCGTGCATTTGTAATCGCCACATTTATTTTTTGAGGGGGGAAGAGGTCAGACTAGATGATTCAGTGGCCTCTTCTGGCCTTTAAATCTATGAAACAGTGGGAGAGATCATCAAATTTCCTATAGTTCCCTGGCAAAGAGAGAAGAACCCAATTACAGCTGTTGACTGCTATTACAAATTCTTCCTCCCAGTCCTGACCCAGCCTGGACAGGAGAATGCTGGGAGAAAGTCAATGCTTCCTGACAGACTTTGGATAGGTCAGCCCTGAGCTTTCCAAATGACTTCCCTGCCGGATGGGTTTGGATCATCAGTTGGTTTTTGTCTCCTTCACATGGCATTTAGTCATTGTTGGGGGATCCAGTATTTGGCTCTCCACCATTCTATCTACAGTACAAATATTCCACGCAGAATTTGTTCTCCAAGGTGGGAACAGAAGGGTTCCAGAACCTGCTAGGTCTAAAATAAAAACCTTGTATCAGTCTTAGGTGCCTCTGTAGTCTAGCAGCTTGCCAGTTATCCCATTCTCCCATAACCACGTCCGTTCAACTCAGCTGATCGGTGCACCTTAGACTTTCTTTATCAGTTCCAAAAGACGATGGCCAGGAAGGGGCATGCCTAGTAAAGTTAAAATGGTGGCCCGTCAATGCTGAAAATGTAGCACTAAGGTTTATCCATTCTGTCTTGTACAGTTTGCCTTGGTGTGTGGGCAGTGCATGTGATCATTATTCATCTGGGGAAGCTGGCCTGGGAGAGACCCTCAACTTTCCTTTATTAATTTTCTTAGTTTTATAGTCTTCTTCCCACTGAGCCTGCCTCTGGTGTCCCCATTTGACTTCACATTCCATCCCTCTGCTTATCTAAATTATTCAACTTGGCAGAGATTTCTTCTAGCTCTTCCTGCACAGATGATGCATTAGGAGAGGGGGATGATGCTAAACCAACGGATCCCTGCTGCCTTGCTCCTGGGCAACGCTCAGCCAAGACTGTACAGCAATATGGCACTTGGTATGTGGCCTGCAAGACCAAAATATGTGACATTGGTTTAACTGCCCCCATCCCCAGCCCCAAACAAATGTCTGTTAGTCTTGCTTTACCTTTGTCACAAACCATGCTAACGTGGTTTGGAGCGTGTGAATAAGGGCAACAACGCAATGTTGGGGGAGGGGAAAATGACTACGTAAGCTCTGTACATCAAGAGATCTATAGGAGGAAACCATCTCTACAGCTTAGGCGTTCCACCCTCTCTGGATTCTATCACCAGATCTCCCCAGCCAGCTGAGGCTTTTGTTAACTCATATTTCAAAACATTCCAGCCCCTCTTTGCATTTGGGCAGCTCATCTCTCCTTCAGAAGTTTGCCTGGGTGGCTTCAGATCGGCACCTGAGGCAACTTTTCTTTTGCTTATCTCCTTGTGATTCCAACTTGGCTGGTTCTGCTTGATGTGTGGCCTCGCAGCCACTCTCGCGCCATGCAGCACCATTTCCTGCTCTCTGTAACGTGCAGCCTGGGAATATTTTGGAAGATTTATTTATACCAAGCCAGATCTAAGGAGTGTTTTAAGCCTTTTGAATGGGATTTGCATTGGATTCTCAATAAATAAAACACCCAAGCAGTGTTTCCCTTTTTCCTTGTTTCAATGCTGCATGCATTTGCCTGCTGATCAGCACGTACTGATACCCTGTGCGTCAGAGTGGGGCGTTTTCCAGCATGTCGTGCTCAAACCCACACTTTTGTTCATCACACCCCTAATGAAGAACTCATGGTGCCTCTGATCTTCACCCTCGAGATGGCTCGATGGGGGGCAGCAGCTAGGAAAGCAGAGCAGGCAGAGGGGCCATGATATGCAGTCTGATATGCAGTCTGGCTGGGCAAAGGCAGACCTGCAGCCATAGACCAGCCATGCACAACAGAGGAACAGATGTGTTTGCTGACAGGTTAAGCTGACTTAGCAGGTCCACTTCTGTGAAGGGAAGGGGGCTAAGGGTTTCTGTGCAGTGGGAGCTCTACAAACCTTTGACCCTTATTAATGGCACATTGGGGATGAAAGGATTAAGAGTATAGTTGAGGAACAAGTCGTTTTAAAGCCTCTGGGCATTTGTTAGGTTGATCTGGCTTTGATTGGAGACTTAAAGAAAGGGTTTGTAGAGTGGTTGCATAGTAAGAGTTCTTAATACTTAGCTAGCAGCATTTACTACTGTAAAATGACCAGAAACCATCTCTAGTATTAACAGGCCTGGTTTCCATACTTAGGGCATGTCTGCACTTGAGCTTCAGGTGTAAATTTCAGCTCTGGTAGCCATACACATACTAGCTTTGATCGAGCTAGTGTGCTAAAAATAGAACTGTAGCTTCTGAGGCAGGAGGGGCTAGTGGCCTAAGTAAGTACCTAGGGTCCCAGGCAGGGTTGTCCTCGGGGCGTCTGGCCTGTCCTGCCATTTGTGCCGCCACGGCTACGCTTCTATTTTTAGCATGTTAGCTGGATGAAAGCTAGCACGTGTATGTCTACCTGAGTTGGAAACTACACCTCCAAGATGTACCCATAGAAGCCTGAGCTCCAGGGCGCCTTCTGTGCACACGCTCACTGCATGCACATGTAGGTCAGGGAGTTAGGCATGCACTTGCAAGACAGTCGCTTAGCTGATTGTGCGCGCTCACAAACTCTCCATTCCCACAGGCACGCTCAGGAAGTGCTGATTGACAAACAGGCAGCACAGGACTAAATAAAAAGCAACTGAGGTTGCTCTGACCACCCCGGATTCTCAATCCTGGCCTCTTCCTCCCACATTCTGGGCCAGATTCACCACTTGGGACTCACGTGCTGTTACTCCAAGGAGGGATTTTGCCCTGTCTGCTAAAAAAAATTACATATTCCTCTGTTTCATAAATGGTCAAAATCTGAAATCCTGGGAGGGTGGAAATAGTCTTTTGTCTCACAGAGGGAGAACACGCTTGCCCCGCTTGTGCAAATCCCCAAAGAGAGACAAGTGACAAGGCCAAACAAAGGAAGCCGAAAGCCAAATACATTGGGCAGTGCTAAAACACACACGAAAAACCTCACTATGAGAAAAAGAGAATCTGAAGACTTAAGCAGACATTTCATGTAGTTCTGCCACAGATCCACGGAACGTAGATCACACTGCACTGACTTGCATTGTTAACTGTTTTAAGTACCTGGAGCTATTGCTTTGTGAGTACATTGTAAAAGGTGTGAAAAAATTGAGCCAAGTACAATGTAATTCGTGAATAGAAGCATTTGAGTTGAAGAATCAATCAGAACTGAATGTCCTGTAAGTTGTTGTATTCTTCCTAACTTTCATCATTTTAGCCTCTAAATCTGGGTTGGAGACAGCAGAGGGTTCTGGTTACGTTTGCGTTAATTTTGTTTGCATGTGCTGTGAGATCTTCAGATGAAAAGTGATACAGAAGCAACGTGCTAAATAAGATTAAGAATCGGAGGCCTTTGGGAATAGGACAGTAGGAACATCACAATGATTATACCTCTCTGAACTTGGGGGAGTTGCAGTAACCTCTCACAGTTTAATTTTTGTTCTGCTCTGTAATTAATTTACTCTGAAGTCCCTTTACGAATTCCACTCTGCAATGAATGGTGACCCTTCCTTCCTAGGTGAAACAGGCATCGGGAAATCCACACTAATGAACACACTTTTCAATACCACCTTTGAGACGGAGGAGGCCAGTCACTACGAGAATGCAGTTCGCTTACGACCGCGTACCTATGACCTGCAGGAGAGCAACGTGCACCTGAAACTGACAATCGTGGATGCAGTGGGGTTTGGAGACCAGATAAATAAAGATGAAAGGCAGGTCACATGCCATCTAGTCGCCATTTCTGCACCAGCCTCTAGTGTTCTAACATATGTCATTCTCCCTGCAATGTTACAGCCAGAGCCTCTGTTCCTGGGCACCCAATTTTCCCATTTGGATTATGAGGTGTCTTGATTATGGCCGCATTAGACTGAAGAGGGCAGGGATGAGCCGCTGTAATAAGTATGGGAGAATGCTAGAGGGAGTTTGGCTAAGGAGAGAGGGTGAGGTTAGTGAGGCAGTGAAAACTGTAACGTGTTGTGAGTTGTCTTAAAGAATCCAGTGTAATCCTGCTGACTTGTTTGCTTAATTCAGTGAAAGACACACCAACCGTTTCTTAGGAGACCTGCTGAGGAGCGGTTCTTTCCTCCAGGCTTGTTGAAGAAGCTGTTAACCTCTTCTTCTTTCGTAGCGTTGGGCCAGGTTCTGCCACCCTTACTCAGGCCGAGTCCTTTTATTAGTGATGGTGAGGGGTTTGTTGTGTTATCACTCCATCCATCCAAAATGTATTACTCAGGGGCGCTCACTCACATCATGAGTCAGAAAGATACTGGATTAGTGGGGAACCTACAGAACTGTGTCTTAAACCAAAGATCTATTTAACTCACTCAAAAACTCACCGAGCCAAATCCTGAGGGATGCTGACCACCTGCAGCTCCTTTTGAAGTCAATGGGAATTGCAGATGCTCAGCACATCTCAGGTTTCATCCCATTGTCTTTAGCAGGGACTAATAGTCTCTTCCCTTTCAGATGGCTTGGTTAGCTAACCCGTAAACTCTTACAAATCTAATTAAAAAACCCAACCAACTGTGGAATAGTTGGAATTGTCCATGATGACAATGATCAGTTTGTGATATTGGTTCCTCCCACCCACTCCCATTTAACTGCTCATCCACCTTGTTTGGATCAAGTGACCTTTGCAGGAGGTCAGACTAGATGATCATGATGGTCCCTTCTGGCCTTAAAGTCTATGAGTCTAAGTCCCTGTAAGACGTCTTGCAATAATTTCAATTGGCCTCCTTTCAAAGTAGTTATAATCTGCCATGGCTATCCAGTGGTAAAGGCTGTTCAGGGTTCCTCGATTCTCCTCTTTGTATTGCTATGCTACTACATCGAGATACTTTACACCTGAAATCTGGTCAAAGCTTGATGTATGGAAGTTGTCTGCTTTCCATATTTCAGTTCCACCAGCATTAATCCCTTTTGTGCTGCAACAGAGTCTCTGAAAATACCATACGCCTTTTGATTAGAAGTTGCTCGTGTGAATGTAACATTCTGCATGTTACCAGTGAAGGGCTAAAAATTTTTATGCTTCTTTGTAAATGGTTTTAAAATAATGGGTCTGAGAGAATGCATGATAACTTTAAACTGTCAACTGCATTTAAACTTCAGCATTCTTGTTGCTAATAGCATCTGTTTTTAGTTACAGGCCAGTAGTTGATTACATTGACACGCAGTTTGAAAACTACTTGCAAGAAGAGCTGAAAATCCGTCGTTCTCTCTTTAATTATCATGACACAAGAATCCATGTCTGCCTTTACTTCATCACTCCAACTGGGCACTCGCTCAAATCCTTAGATCTGGTAACGATGAAGAAGCTGGATAGCAAGGTAAGGCGTTTAAGGCAAGCATCCACTCTTCAATGTATGCTTTCAGTTAGATGTAAAGCAATATTAATGCATAACATCTTCCATACATGGGTCTCAAACCACTTCTCAGACATCAACTGATGAATTCTCATAACAGCTCTGTGAGCTAGGTTGGTTAAAGCACAGATCTGCCTGATCAGTGACTTCATATAGATGGTTTCATGGGGTTCTGTGTTCATTTCTTCTCAGTAGCTTCCATATAAAATTTGCTCCTTTTGCAAAAAAAAACTAGACATTTGTTTGAAAATGTCTCTTTCAAGTTTTTCTGCAGCACCCATCACTGTAATAACTTTGCTTGGGATCTGAAAGTCAAGCTGGGCTGTTTCTGGCTCATCATCTCTTGTGAAAACAAGGGAGTCTTCAGCTGAAACTTATAATAATAATATATGGAGAGATACCCATCTCCTAAAACTGGAAGGGACCCTGAAAGGTTATTGAGTCCAGCCCCCTGCCTTCACTAGCAGGGACCAAGTATGATTTTTGCCCCAGGCTCCTAAGTGGCCCCCTCAAGGACTGAACTCACAACCCTGGGTTTAGCAGGCCAATGCTCAACCCACTGAGCTATCCCTCCCCCAGTTAACTATTGTTGTTTTTGGGGGAAGGGGAGGAGAGAGGAGGTTTGCTGATAGGCAAGCCAGGATAGGCTCCAGCTCGCTGTCCCACAGCTGTGTTGTAGGAACTGCAGTGCTACCTGTATTGTCCTGTCAGTAGTGATAACGGGCAAAAAGCAGTAAAAATTGAGACTTCTTCCTAAGGGTAACAGATTTTGCCTTTGGATATACAGATGGAGCAATTGTTGAGGAAAAATGTTTTTACGTATGGACTTGACTTACCACAGCTGCACTTTAGAATTGTCCCTATATTCACATTGGAAAAGTAAGTCAAAGAGGATAAGTGACTTGCTCTAGATCAAACAACAAATCAGGGGCAGGAACAGAACCTACGTGTCTCAGTGGTCTAATTCCTGTATCATATTGCCTTTTCAAAGTATGGTAAGGTCAATAACCTAGCAAGGTCATAGGAATCCAAAAAAGTAGGTCTGTTTATAGTCTAGCTAGTGGTTACATCTATATTTCGTTACATAGGTCCTCAAGCAGTCACTCCCTTAGGTGGCAACTGGTCATGTGATTCGTTACATGACATTCATGCAGCTTAAAGTTATTTAAGGCTTCTTGACACGCTTTCCACTTGGTCAGCATGCTGTGAGAAAGTTGGAAGCAGGCTCGAAAGGTCATTGATGTCTTATTCAGCTTGCTTTTTTAATAAAAAGTGATTTCCTTGTCTTGAAGAATATTTAACACTTAGGATGCCAATCCCTTTTCTCAATCACCAGCTAAATGTCTATAGCTACCTGTATGCAGTGTAGTTGTAGTGTTGGTCCCAGGATATTAGAGAGACAAGGTGGGTGAGGTAATATCTTTTATTGGACCTTCAGAACACAACTGATTTCCTCCATAAACTCCGCTACATTAACAACCTCCCTCAGAACACCATCCTTGCCACCATGGATGTCACTTCCCTAAACACTAACATCCCTCACAATAGCTGCTTGCCTCAAATATCTACAAGACAATAGACAACCCTCAGAGATCCACCCCAAACACATTGTCAAACTCATCCATTTCATCCTCACCCACAATAGCAACAAATGCTTTATCTGAATCATGGCAACAGCCGTGGGTACGAGGATGATTCCCCAATATGCCAACCTCTTCATGGGCCACCTTGAAGAAGAATTTCTGGACAAATGCACCATGAAACCAATGATATATCTGAGATCCACTGATGATATTTTCGTCATCTGGACAGACGATTTAAACACTCTCATAGATTTCCACCAGAACTTCAACAATCTACACCCCTCCATTAAACTCTCTCTGGAACACTCCCACACAATCATCAACTTCCTGGACACCGTAATCAGCTCTAATAATGGAATCCAACAGACAAACTTATACAAGAAACCCACAGATCACCGCACATACCTTCATAGATCCAGTAACCACCCCAAACACACGAAGAAATCTGTTATTTAAAGCCAAACACTCAGATACTACAGAATATGATCCAAGGAGAAAGTCCGGGATATACACCTTCACGCACTTAAAACTGCCTTCACCAACGAGGGACACTTCACTAGAGAAGTAGTTCACATCCTGAAACGGGCCACTCAAATACCCTGAGACAACCTGCTTCAATACAGAAATAACGCCCCCTCTGACAGCACACCCCTCCCCTGTCACCCCACAGTGGAATCTACGTGGTGTATCATCAAACTACAACCCATACTTGCTGGGGACCTCGTCCTGAAAGAAATCTTTCCTGAACCCCCACTTCCGGTCTTCAGATACCCCCCCCCCAACCTTTCCAAAGCATCATCAGAAGCAAGTTCCCCACAGACCAAGACTCATCAACTCAAAGCTGCACCAGACTGTGCCAGAACAACAGATACAAAACCTGCAGACATATCTCTGCTGCTACAATGATCAACACCCCCACACAACACACCTTATAAGATCCATGGGTCTGACAGACTTATCACAACATGTGGCATACCTCATCCAATGCGCTAACTGCCCCAGTAACAACTATGTGGGTGAAACCAGACAGTCACTACGCTCTCAAATATACTCACATAGGAAAATGATAAAAGACACACAAAAAAACCACCCTTGCACCTGTGGGTGAACAACTTTTCACAAAGCAATCACTCTAAGTCCTACCAGTCCTCATCCTCAAAGGAAACCTGCACAACACTTTCAAAAGATGAGCCCAGGAGCTTAAATTCATAATTGTGCTAGACACTAAAAATCATCGACTGAATAGATAAACACTGGATGCATGGCTTATTACAACAATCTGTAACCCACTAACCCCTCTTTTTTGTCCTATGACTGCAGAGGTCACTTTACCTTGAATGGGGCCCTCCCTGGCCCAGACACTGACCCCTCCCCCCCCCCCAGAGGCCAGCCATGCAGGGCAGGTGCAAGGATATTTTGCGCCCTAGGCGCAACTTCCACCTTGCGCCCCCCCTGGCCCCACCCCCAGCCCTGCCCAACTCCGCCCCCTCCCTGCCCCCTTTGGATCCCTCCCCAAATCCCCGCCCTGGCCCCGCCTCTTCCCCAAGCGCGCGCGTTCCTCCTCCTCCCCCTGGCCCCTCAAGGCCCCGCCCCTGCCCTGACTCCGCCCCTCCCTGCCCCCATTGGAACCCTCCCCAAATCCCTGCCCTGGCCCCACCTCTTCCCCAAGTGCGCGCGTTCCTCCTCCCCCCTTCCTCCCAGGCTTGCCGTGTGAATCAGCTATTTCGCGGTGCAAGTGCTGGGAGGGAGGGGGAAGAAGCAGGATGCAGCGTCCCGCTCAGGGGAGGAGGCGAAGGTGAGCTGGGTCAGGGAGCTACCAGAGTCCGCGCTGCTTTTTGGCGCCCCCAAATCTTGGCTCCCTAGGCAGCCGCCTAGTTTGCCTAATAGTTACACTGGCCCTGCAGCCATGGCACCCTCCACCCCCAGACACTCGCACCCCCCAGAGGCAGCTGCAGGGACCCCCCCCGCCAGGGATCCAGAGGGAGAAACAGCCTGATGCCATGTCCCGGGCTTGCACAGAGTTTCCTACGTGCGCTGCCTCCTTCCTTCAGGGTGTGCTGAGAACTGCAGCTGCTGGGAACGCCCCCATTGTCTTCTGTTTGCGAGCTGGGCTCTGCTGGGTCCAGAGGCCCCTAGTGGCAGCCAACATCTCTGCAGCCCATTTCAGTGGGGGGGGGTGAAAGGAAATTCTGTGCGCACAACATTAATTTCTGCAAAATTTTGCATTGCGCAGGAGTAAACTAGAGCATGGACTCTGCAGTAACCAGGGTCCCTCTGAATCACTTTTAAGGTCCACTCTCCAACCCAACCTCTGTCCAAAGGTGGCTGTGATGCACTTTCCTGGATGGCAGACATTTACTGGCAGACATTTACTGGAAAGAAGATTGAAGATGTCTGTGTCCCACGCTAGCCCCAGCAGCTGGCTCCATTTTATTTGGCACCGCTTACTGGCTTCCACCTTGTGATTGCCTTGCTTGTAACTGTAGGTGCTGGAATGAGGGGTACTGGGGGTGCTGCTGTACCCGCTGGCTTGAAGTGGTTTCCATCATATATAGGGTTTACAGTTCGGTTCAATGGCTCTCAGCACCCCCACTATACAAATTGTTCCAGCACCCCGGAGTTGCTGTTACATTAATATCACAGGGCATCTGAAAACTTTCCTCTAATAAACTCTGCCTCCTGGTGTGATGCCAGCATTACGTGTTCTCTAAAGTATGTTTGCAAGAATGCCCATGTGTGATTTCCCTGGCGTTCTTTGTGGTGGTGGTGATGGTCCCACCACGCTTTTATATTCCTTTCCTCGTGCATTTCCTTCCCTTAACGTCTCCTGCTGCCTTTTTAAATTGGCCCTTGTGTAAGGGGGCTTTAGGCCCCTTACTGAAACTTAGCTTTTTTTGTTGGCCCTCTCCCAATATCAGGAGAAAGGGGAAGGGCCGAAGAGGAGTCAGAATCCTGAGATTGACAGGTCCCCAGAGCCAATGGGGAGAGGCCAGCCCTCCCAAGTCAGCCAGCTGGCCACCTAGGCAGGTCCTTGTTTATAATTGCTGTTTAATAAATTGTATGTGGTTAAAACTCAATAGTAGTAATCACTGGGCAGAGAAGTGGACAGTGAGGAGAGAGTACTCCAGGACAGAGCCTAGGGTAGCTCCACTCTAATTTCCGATGATGAAACTGGGGGTTGAGCCCCACACGGATCCTGGGTCCCGCCTTCTTGGGGTTAAAAGGACTCTGCTGCATGGGAGAGAGAAAGAGGAGTCCTCGCAGTCAGGCAGGCATCCAGGTAAAGGGAGTTGGGCCGGGGATTCCAACGGGGTAGTATAGAAGCCAGGAAAAATTATAGCGGGAGCATTCCCCTGCTTCCGCTAGGATCATACCAAAATT